TGGAGTTCAAAAGGGGTTAGATATATTTATTCATTATGCAGAAAATTGTGGAAGAATGCTTATTCTGCCAAGTACAGATAAAATAAAAACAAGTGAAGGAACTTATGCAGACTCCTTTCAACAAAGGTGTTTTACAATAAAGATATGTGTGGCAAATAAGAAATCAGTGAATGAATCACAGAAAAAAAAAGGAAGACTAACAAACTAGCGGAACAAAGCACATGGAACAGGCCTACAGAAGAAACCAGTGGTGAGCAATGACGGCATGAATTGTAAAAAAGGGCATGGGAGAACAAGTGAGACTAATCACGAGGAGATGAGGAACAGCTGAGACTGATGAAGGCAGAGAGAGATAAAGGGGAAAGAGTAAATAACGCCGAAGCAAATCTAAACATGGAAACACAGGGAAAAATCTAAGCGATAACACAAAAAGTAAAATGTACATATAACATCTAATCCATAAAAGAATAAATAATGGTATATGTTACACTGTAACTATGAGCAGATTTGGAGGTGGAAATTGTCTGTAGCTAAAGGAGTCCGGTCACGTACTATGCCCAGAATAAAAATACAACAATCATATATTCCTTTTCAAATAAAACCAATTTAGTCATTTTTTAGCCTAAAAAAAATGCCCCAAGTGTGATAAGCAAACATAAACATGGTTATATGCTGTCACCATATCTATTAACTATGGAGCCTCAGAAGCTTTAGCTCCCACTTCAGTGAATACCATTGTATTCCAAGCACACTCTCTTACTCCCCATTCACAGTTGATCTTAAAATTTTCCTCTTTCTTTTCACACCTTTGCTGGAAGTTGCTTGGCCTGATTACTAATTGTGCGCATGTGCAATAACATACCTCCGTTCATTTGGTCTTGTCACAGTAAATACTGTTACAAGCCTGTTTTTTGAGGGGAATGCATTGGGTGGTCATGGGCCAAAGCTGATTTGTTTATTCAGCTCTGTATGAAAGGGAGGGGTGCTGTGTTGCAAAAAGGGGAGAGATAATGGACCCATCCCTCCTCCTCCCATCCCTTGGTTTTTACTTGGGTTTCGGTCTTTCTTCTGGCAGTTTTAATTGTCTTCATCTAAATAGTTTATTTCAGCTTCTTGAAAATAAGCATTTATACCTTAAGTCATTGTGTCCTTTTCCCTCTATTTTTTCTGACAATCCAATAGCCAGGTTGTGACAATATAGAAAATGCTTAGGTTTAATATGAAATAAAGAAAAAACAAAGTGCAACTCATTCAAATAACTAATAATAAGCCAACAGCGAACCATAATTTTAGGCAACACAGTGAGCTACTGGTGTAGAAATATGTCAAGTCATAGTACGTGACAGGACCATGTGAAATGAAACACAGAGGGGAGAGGCTAACAACTAAAATTGCAACGAGAGGACATGAACAAGAACGAAATGAAGAAAAGAGAGACATAAAATAAACCTCAAAACTCAGAAGCAAAGCCTCAGGTCTTTTGAATTAATGTATTTTGGGACAGATTATAATAAGGAACTAATTAAGGCAAAAAAAAAAAATGCTCATAACAAGTCTACAATTAACCTTTTCTTTATCATAATTACAACCTTGAAAGTCACTTTTTTTGGCCAAACCTGACCTTAAGAGGTGAGGCTAGCTTTAAAGCTTGCCTTTTGTGCTGTGTTCATATTTAGCCCTCCAAGGTCAAAGAAACACCACGTGCTGTTTCTGTTTGGAGATGAGTTTTCTGTTTAAATTAGCCCAGCAGCTCTCAGCAGTTTCCTTTGTCTGCTGCTTGTTTCACTCAAATCAAGCATCATTTTTGCAGAACACATCTGAGGCAAATTATCTTATCCACCTTTCATCTTTTAATTTTTTTTCATCTACATCATATTTTACTTGATATTAAAGTAGAGCTGCATCTTTGTACAACAGTAATTGCCATAGAGCTTGAGTAATTAAAGGACAATAAAGCCTTAGTAGTAATTAGTTTCTCTTGTTTGGTTGCTAGCCCATCAATTGTGCTTCAATAATACTGATCATTAGCATGCGCCTGGGCAGTGAGGGATGCTGGGAAAGAAGCCCTGCACACACGGCACTCCACATTCCATTCCCATGAAGCCATGGCACCAAGCCATGAGGTTAACCCTCTGTTTGCTGGGACAACAGGATGAGTGGCAGGATGTGCTTATGCTGTGGGATAATCGCTCTCCAATCTTTTAACATTACATTTTGGGAATATAACTTTATATTCCGTATTTTTCTGTCATTATATTTCATGTGTCTAATTTTTAAATCTTTCTTACAGTTGCATCCTCAGTTATTCAAGTCTAGTCTAACTCATTGATACCCTGTCTCTTAGACTCTTATAAGAATGTTAAGGGCTTGAAATATTAGTATCTTTGAATCCATTGTAAAATGAATCCAATCAGGGATCTTTAAACAAAACTACATCAGCAGACAGTTGCACATTATTTTGAGGGCTGGGTGTATGGATGGGCTGTAAACTGTGGCACAGTAATAGCGTCATGCAGCTGAAAATGTGCTCTGTTCTGTACTTTGCCTTGACATGATTGAAAGACAATGGTCCCATGGATAGGCCATTTCAACATCAAATGTGCATGCACATCACAGGGCAAGGGTGTGCTATCCATCACATTCCGAGAGCTGTCAGAGGTATAGCTCACACAAGCACTGCAAGCATTTGGAGCTGCATGGTAATACAAGATTAAAACTTCTTGTACATATTCCACCCGAAGCATGTCATTTGTTATGCTCTTTTCAAAATGCTTTGCACTGTTGTGTAAAAGTCAGGGCTTTTCATGTAGTTTTCAGTAGGGCCAACATGATTTTGCACAGGGTCAACATACCTTTGCAGCCTCTGCCCCCAAACACTCTCATATGCATCTTTTTTTTATTGATATAGGCCTAATATACATTAAAAACTCCACTGACTAACAATATTTATTAATTTCTTATATTTAATTACAATATACATGTATTTTATTGTATTTTATACTGGCTATTATTAGTTCTAACAATAACAGCAACAGCAATAAGGCTAATAATTATGAAAGAAATATCATAAAATATATAAAGGGAAATAAACAAAGACAATTTTAAGGTGAAATACTGTTCTAACTAATAAATACATTAAGAACATGTAGATCATAGAAAAACAAAGTTCCTTAGCACAAACAGGGACAGAATTAAAAATTTAAAGACACTTAATGTCAAGAGTTAAAGGAAATATGTGATAACACATCAAATTTGCAGATTTTTGGTTCATAAGTTCAACAAACCAACTGTCTTTGTTTAAACAAAACTCTAGCATGTTCCCTGATCTTGGCCCATGTCCAGCATTGGGTCCATTCTGTATAGTGGGCGACTGCTTATTCGTAGTGATTTAGTTTTTGTTCTGGGATATGTTGGGGGGCTCATGAGCTACTTAGATGTGACCCCTCCCTTCTCTGTTTTTTTTTTCTTCTGCTGCCAGATCTATGCGTACTTACAGAGTTATGTATAGAGACATAGAGTTTACACACATGCATAAACACAAGCTGTATACATAGAAGCAAGAATAATGTCCTGCTAATATGCACAAACAGGCACCATGCAAAAGCAGAAAATTGGATATTGCACTTCCTGCTGTATAAAGTAATGTTGCTGCAACACAGACATTTCGTTGTTTCTGGCTTTGTTAGGACAATTATAATCATCATTTCTATTTATAAAATGCTTACAGTCTTATTTTGTTTGGTGTTATTGCTGTACTCTATGCTCTCTTACATTTTAGTCCTTATCACCACTTGATACAGCTTATTATGCCCATATTTTATAAAGTATATTGTGCATATATATATATATATATATATATATATATATATGTAAAGCTAAAGAAGTAAAAGTCATCAGTTATTACCAAGGTGGACTAATTGTGGGCACCGAAAACCCAAGCGTCAATTGCAGAGGGAAGCCATGGTTTTGTGGTTACATCTTCATTAGTAAGTAATTAGAGAAGTATTTTTCATTTAAATAAAACCGCCCCTTTCATATTTAAAAATCTAAAAGATCATAAGGTCATGTACGTGTGTGTAATGATCTCAAGCAGAAACAACTAGTGCAACAACTGCACACTGTGAGGGTGCAAGGCAGTTACAAGCATGCAAATAGTGTATTCACGTAGATGCGCCCACCATTACACTCACACACACACTTACAATGGATTTTGATACACATTTTATTGCTATTGTGCAATTACTTTCCTAATTGCCATCATGTTTATGCGTTATAACGACGTAAAAACAAATTAATATGGCAAACATTGACTTATTCTTTAATGGAGACAATTTTAATATAAAATATATTGCAAATGATTATCTATAAGCAAACCAAGAAAAATAAAAGCATAAAATACATATTTTGTAAGGCGTCGGGTCCTGTGAATGATGCATTTTTGGATTTACAACAAAAAAGATACACAATTAAAAAATTCTCCTCCTCAAATTTCCTCTAGTCTTAAAAAAAATAATTCCTGTGCTCACTCCTGGTAATGTTGCACATATTTCAGGTGTAAATAAAGTTTTTAAATGCTTATCCACATACTTTTAATAAACAGACTCTCTAACTGCATAAACTAATCATGCAGAAGTTAAGATGGTTGTTTCACCTTGCAGTTTAATGACATTAAATTACTTATTGGTTGTTATGTTGATTAAAAGTTAATGGTCTGCACTTAAAATCAAAACGGGAGAAGAAAATCCATTGCAACACGTTCAGACTAAAAAGAGAGACTTTGTGCCACCTCCTCCCATCCACCTTGGCACAATAACCCAAATGGAAGCCTTTATGAAGCCCTGGTGGAAGCAGAGTGCGCTTTATAATGCACAGTCGTGCACACTACTACATTTTCAGCTAATCAGAGGCGCGCAGTTGCAGAAAGGAGAGCGGTTGCCAAGGCAGCCACCAATCTCCCCTCCCCCCCCTCTATGCTCCCTCCGTTCCTCTTTCCCGTTTATTATCGGCAGAGGTCGCATGGCAGAGGGAAGTCTAACCACTTCTGTACTGGAACCAATGCAAGAATATGCTGCTCCATAACAAAGCCTGTATGGAGTGCTGATAGCAGTGGAGGAAGCACCAGAGGACGTCTGTGGGACTGTTTGAATTGTTTTAAGTCGTGAAAAAAAAATACAACCTCACAAAACAGGATTTAAGTTGGAGCTTTGCATTGTTTGGCCAACACGTGCGTACCACCAATGAATTTGCACTATCCGTTTAGAGTGAGTGAGTGAGTCTGTTACGCATCCTGGCTCTGAAGGAGGACTGCGCATCAGCAGATTTGTTGCCGAAGTACGAATCTGAAGAACACAGTTCACCGAGAAAAACTCCTGCACTTGTTTTTTCTTTCCAGTTTATCATTATTATATTTTTATTTTTTTTTAGTATTTATATTTACTACCATTTCCTCCAGCTTTGGCGCCGTATATAACCAAACAGTCAGTGAAACACGCCGAAAGTGATTTCATGCCTTCAGTCTCGCTCAGCCTGAGATGGACGTGAGATTTTATCCTGCGCCCCCGGCAAATGTGGGTTCTTGCTCCCTGCCGACTGATCCAAGTTGCCTGAACTCCTTGGACTATTACCACTCGAACAAGGTAAATAAACAGCCGTGCACTGTAATCCTCTATGTACCACTTGTCTGTAAGGAAGAAAACAACACATCCTGTAACAGCCGCGCACTTCTAACGGATGCTTTTATGCGCGCTTTTGCAAATTAATGTCAGGTGTCTGCAATTAAAAGTGTCGTGGATCAGTTTGAACTAAGACTTAAACTGTTATTATTTTTGCAGAAATTAATTGTTTCTAATTGAATTTGAAATATTTGTGTTTTTCAACTTTTCTGTTCCTCTTGCCTTTCATAATACTTATGTTCCCTGTGGACGTTGCGCAGCGAACTGGCCTGGCATATCCCATACCTTACATGGCAAAGGGAAATAATCATATATATTCATATATTCCATACAGACCGGGCTGTCCGGTCCAGCATTATGTTGTCTATCTGTCTTTTCATGTCTGCTTTACCACATGCGTTTTGGTGGTTATATAGACGTGTTCCTTTAATGCACAGTTCATTTATCTGTAACCAGACAAACACAGTTGAAAGGTTTTTCGCTCAGCTATGTCAACTTGAGGTTTTTGAACTGCGCTGATCCACCGATGCAGCGCAGGTGGCTTAGAAAACAGCAGTTGTCTTCTTAAATAAATTTACCTGATTAATTTAATAATTCACAATAAAGATTTGCTGAAGAATACTCCTAATACATTACAGATAGTCTTTATAGAACCGCTGTACTTTAAGTGGGAAATGCATCCCCACAGCATGAGGCTGCCACTTCTATGCTTCCAGCTTTGGATTTTATTCTCAACGTAAACTACATTAAAATTTAAAACAAAAGTATCATCATCTCATCATACGTATTTGCATTGATCCACAATAGTATACATTAAAGTTTGTGCTTACAATATAAAACGTGAACAAATGTTTATTGATATATACTTTTCTTGCAGTTAAATTAAGAAATTTAAGAAAAAAAAAATCCTAAAACCTAGAGATCAGATGTAACGCAAACAAAGCTTCACAAAATCCTTATATATGTAATTTGGATATAAAGTGACAATAGCTTAACTCACTATTTATAAATGTAGCTTGAATTTGACATTATTGTTTTCATCGCTTACCGTGGCTGTAGGATTAAATCCTTGGGCCCTACAGATGCTGACCTGCTCTCTGAAGTTGGTATGAGATTAAAAATGGTTCAGAGTTTTCTCCTCTGCAGATTAAACATAGCTCTTGAGTGTTTGAGAGGAGGGAATGATGCAGAAGTCAGTAGGGGATGTTTGCCTTTCACTGTGTGGGCACTGGAAAATCTCTAACCGAACAGAACAATCCCGTAATCAAAATCTCCAGCTTTCGGGTCATGAAAAATAAACCATGCTGTCAAGTCGCACTTTGCTCTCATTATATGTGAAATAAGTGCAACTTAAAACTTTCAGTGATCAGGGAAGTTTTTTTTTTTTACCTGTGACACATGAATGGATGACACAAGCTGAGGCTATCTTTTTGTAGGTCAAGCGAATTAGGATCATCCTCTATGTGGATAATCCCAAGAATACGCTGCTATCTATGCAGAGTGCATGAATCCTGGAAACAAAGCCACTAGATATTGGATGATATAAAGAGCTTCTGTGAGAGAGAAAGTGACTCTAACCACTAGTGCTGGCACTGAAGTGTAGCTTCCTTAAGAAATGACAAGTGTTTCGTTAAATAATTAAAACCCACTCTACTCTCTTTGCTGTGGGATTTTTTTCTGCAGAAGGAGCAGAAATTTTCTATCATCACACATGTAACACTAAGTAGCTTCACTAACAATGCAAATGAGACCAGCGGGAAGCCTTTTGGTGTCCTGTTAACACAGTGAACAAGGTCAAGTTTCTGTCTGAGAACACTTGTCAAACTGACATAGGCAGAAAACAGACGTGTGATTTGTCTTGTTGGTACTGCATGTATGGATCACATGTGTTTGCTGCATATTATCTAAGACAGACTTGGTTTGTAAGTTTATCAATTCTGCACAGGTCCGCTAGTGAAGCTGGGATTAGACCAGAGGCTAATAACCACTTTGAGGTATTTCTTTAATACCTGACCTTTCATATTCATGCAGATATTTTATCCATTCAATCAATTTTATTCCGCTTAGTCCTGTCAGGGTCGCAGTGGTACTGGTGCCTTTCTCTGGACAGGTCACTAGTCTGTTGCAGGGCAACACAGAGACACACAAAGACACAATCATGCACACACACACTCAATTTAGAGAAGCCAATTAACCTTACAGTCGTGTGTTTGGACTGTGGGAGGAAGCCGGAGTACCCAGAGAGAACGCACACATGCACTGGTAGGACATGGAAGCTCCATTCTGCGCGTACAGAACTATTAGTAAAAAAGCAATATATTCAAAATTGATGTGTATAAAACCCTTAATAACAATAACCATTTGACTATTGTCTTAGGTTTCCAAAAGTGGCAATATTACAGACAGTACTAATGATGCTTTTTTTCACTTAAGTCTTTATTTTATATAAAGAAGAAAAAAATAAAATAAAAAGTTATCGTTCCCACATTTTTTAGGGTTACATCTATAAACTTTATTCCACTTTGCTGTTTTTTAATGACATACAATTAGTTAGTAGAAAACGTGTCAAGTAAAACTTTGCATGGAACTGCATGGAAAAATAATGGAGAAATAAATACAACCTTTAATTATGAGGCCTGCATTTATGTTAAGCCCACTTTACATAAATAAAATATATTGCAACTAACTCTGGTATCCCTAATAAGGCAATAGAGTCCAGCTGTGGGTAAGTGTTAAGAAATTAAAACAATACATAACATTAAAAACACACACCTGCACCACAGGGAAACAAGATGGTGGATGTATCATACTATGGGCCCCTTTAAAAGGTACAGGGAAACTGGTTAGAGTTCATACAAAGGTGGATACTACAGGACAGTCTTTGGAGAGAGATCTTACATTAGGGTCAATGGCTTATCTTCCAAGAAGATAAAAATCACAATGTTACATTAGCAACATGTTGAAGTAAATACAATGCAAATAAAGGCAATTTCAGTTGGTATCGCTAATATTGAACAGTAAAACTATATTGATATTTGTGACAGAATATTTAGTAGTCATTTTGAGCATGGTTAGTTTGGGGATAATGTAATTCTCACATCCATGTTCAAACTTCACAGATAAATAAGTAGCCATCAGCAGCTGTTCTTTCTGTTGTTCTTGGCTGAGATCATAATTACCTTGCAAGTAGTGGATGTGTGTAGTTTTAGTATATTTAGTCATCCAAATATATTCTGTTAGAGGTAATGTTTGTATCTCCCATTTTATATGAGAACTATCAGATTGACCCAGAAACTTTGCTGTGATCTATCTGCAGCCAAATTAACATGGCTGTGCACCGGTGAAGGAATGCTGCGTTTTATTATGTAAACAATAAAACCCCTTTGACTATTGGTTGGTTAAGCTTGACAGACCAGCCGTTTGTAAATCCCTCCGAACCCGGTCACTTCAACCTTACTTTCAAAGCCGCCCTCTGTCTGCTGGTGGGTTGGAAGATCATTTGTTCACGTGCCTTCAAGTACTTGGTTGACTGTTTGACAAAATCTGAAGGGAGCGTCGTTCACGTTTTCACAGTGCTTTTTTCTTGGTTACATGCAAATAAGGAGGCAAATATCTTCAAATATACTGTTTTGCCAACATTTATCTCATTAAAAGCCAGTGTATTGGCCTAATTTCAGCGTAATTTTAACACATTTCAGTGTAACTAGCTTAGGGGGCGTGGTCTAGACGTCAGTCAAAGGGCTGATATGCACAACAAAAGCTATTTAATAGTCCACTCTGACACTGCATGTGAAAAACATACAATTTTAACAGTAAAAAAAACACCATTAAGGTGTAAATAGTTGTTTTTATGTCTTTTTTTTAAAGGAACGTAATAAAAGCAGTATAATGTCCTTCAAGGTGTTTGTTATCAGAAATTATTAGACTGTGCAGAAGCAGCTGTTCAAGCGTCTGCATCATTCCTTCATTTCTGATAATGGATACTACACCTAACAATATCACTTACTCACTGGATTAATATTCTATTCTATTCAATTCTGGGATGCACCATAGGAAAATATAATATTGACAGTCAATAGTAATGCTGCTTTTATAACTGATGATGGATATTCACCTATTGTATGTATTTCCCTCCCCTTTAGTTAAACACTCCACACTCCACTGATTACACTGCATCATATGGCCAAAGGAATATGGTTGTGGTAACCCCTCCCGCTCCCCCAGTCCTATTCCCAAGCACACACAGTCCCTAACCCCCACTTCTAGAGCATAAGCAGCAACTGGATGGAGATAAATATTGGTTATTAATATCTGCCCACTTCAACATATTAGGTCAATACAATATGTTAGAAAGAATATGTTATGTTACAAATATGATTTAAATGCTGATATATTGTGCATTACAAATGTGTTCATTTGAATCTATTCTGAGTACCTATAATGGTGTTTAAGTTATCACCAATGTATGTTAAAACCTTATATTCTAATAAAAAAAAGCTTTTTTTTTTTTTTTTTTAAAGAGTCGATACTGCAACTAATTGACAATGTGTGAAAACATTTCTCCATTTCCTGTTATGATGTTGCTAAAGTCTTAATATGAGTCATATAAACTGTACAAGAAAAAAATTGCATTTTATACCACCAGTTTTCAAATTACTAAAAAATTTTTGATCTTTTTTGCACTTATTAAAAAGTTTATTTGACTTCCAACCAGCACATGCCGTTTTCATGCTCTCAAGCATCATCACAGTGCTTGTTTAGACATTTTGAGTTCAACTGTTCTAACTGCCCATTGTAATCAACTGCTATTACTGTGTAATATTTGCTCTGATTACCTGCAGTTGCATAAATCGTTTCCTTTAGCTTCTCTACCTTGTCCATGATCGACAACAAAAAAAAGTCTTACAGGAAGGAAACGTGAACTTTGTTCAGTTTTTGATGTCAGATGTTTATAGAGATAAATA